TGGGTGAGGACAGGAAGTATTCAGGTTATCAAGGTCTAGAGCATATTTTGTTGGTGGGAGTGTAAAGTGATACAACCACTTTGGGAAAAGGTCTGGCAGTTTCTTCTAAAATTAAATATATACCCACTCAGTGGTGACGCACTTACACTCTTATTTGTTTTAATAGCTAACTTGTGTGCGACTCTTGCGACCCCATGGACTGTGGCCTGCCAGGCTCCTCTGTCCATGGGATTCTCCAGGCAAGAATATTGGAGTGGGTTACCATTACGTATTTACCCAAGAAAAATAAAAGCATATGACACAAAAAGACTTGTAAAAGAACGCATTTAGAGTTTTGTTCATAATAGCTCCACATTTGAAATAACCCAAATGTCTATCAGTAAGAGAAAAGATACACAGGTCAACAATAAAAACAACAAGCTACTGACACCAATATAAACTATTACGTTAAATAAAAGATCCTTACACAAAAAAGCACATACTGTATGATTCCATTTATATGAAGTTTTAAAGTTGATAAAACTAGAAGTAAATTGCATCCAGGGGGGATATCAGGGTGGGATGTCTGGGAAGGGGTTGAGAGAACTTTCTGTGTTTGAAAGGTTTTATATCTTGTTAGGGGTTTGGGTTACTTGACTGTGCATTCACCAACACATATCCAGTAATATTCTTAAGATTTATACATTTCTCTGCAAATAGATTTTATTTCTACCCAGCCCCTTCAGAAGAACTATAAATTCTGAATAGTAGTTAAAGATATGCTGAAGTGTTTAGGGTGACGTGCACCAAGGTCTACACCTTTCTTGGAAATGCATCAAAAATATGAGTTGATGATTACGTAGATGGATGATAAATATGTGATTAAACAAGTGTAGCAAAATGTTAACAATTGTAGACTCTAGGTGGTGAGCATATGGAGGCTCTCAGGATGATCTTTTTGATTTTGCTGTGTGTTTGAAATTCTTCACAATAAAATGGGGGGAAATATAAAGGTTCTTAGCATACTGCTGCATTCAGGAAGTTGGTCTTTATTCTGACTTTGGGAAGTTAATGAATCCTTTTAAGAGGAGTTTTTAGATATAAATTTAAGAATGGAAAGAGATCCAAGGCATGATGCGTAGAACTCTATTTTAGTTCTGGTAGGAAGAGAGAAGAGTATGAAGGAGTGTCAGGGGTGAAAGAGCAGTGTGAGTTCCAGAGAGATTTAGGGGGTAGAATTGTTAAGACTTGGGAAATGGTGAGAGTTGGGGTGGGAAGGAGATTGGGAGCTGGTGCACAGGTACTGGGGAAGGGGGAACGACGTGGGAGCTGGTGGACAGTGATGGGTAGTCCAGTCAGTCATCCTGAACTTCAGAAAAAAGGCTTTAGCATGAAATGAAGTTGGAATGCTGTTGCTGCTACTGCTGCTAAGTTGCTTCAGTCGTGTCCGACTCTGTGCGACCCCATAGACGGCAGCCCACCAGGCTCCCCCTGTCTGCGATTTTCCAGGCAAGAACACTGTAGTGGGTTGCCATTTTCTTCTCTGGAAGTTGGAATGGGCTGTGATTAACTGTTGGGAGCTGAGAGAATGTCACCCTTCTTTCCAGTTTGGGGACTTGTCTCCCTCATAACCAGGAGGGTCGAGGAGATTAGGGTGACCTGGACAAAGCAGATGTTTTTGAAAATCAGTTCTAATGAAACCTAAAGAATTGAAAACTCTTCTATTATGTACCTTTGATGTCAGTGCCTGTCCCAGGAGAACAAAAGACACAGCTCAGCCTGATTGCTAAGCTCAAATCACCGCAATAGAAAATGCTCTTTCTGGAACACAGCTGGTTAACCTGATCTTACTCCAAAAGCACGAAGTGCAGAAACTGAAGTAAGCTTTGAAGCATGAAGTTAGGGTGGAATGCTCTGGAATTAACAGTTGGAAGCTGAAAGAATATCAGCCAAACTTTGGCTTTGCAGTTCTTTGGAGAAAATGGACGAGTAACACACATGGAGTGTTGGTGGAGGGACCTCCCTGGTGGTCCGGTGGTTAAGAATTCGCCTTGCAGTGCCGGGGATGCTGGTTTGATCCCTGGATGTGGAACTAAAATCCCATATGCCTTAGGGCCCCTAAGCCCGCATGTCTTGACTAGAGAGCTCCTGCACCGTTACCTACAGAGCCCACACTCTCTAGAGTCTGCGCCCTGCAGTGAAGAGCCTGCACGCTACAGCTGAGACCCAAGGCGGCCAAAAAGAAAATAAATAGTAAAAAACAGTGTAGGTGGAAATGTTTCGAGCTGGGGCTTGGGTGTCTGTGGTGGGGGCTGACGGACCTGGGCACAGATTCTGCGCCCTCTGGCCCGTCCCAGCTGCTCTCCTGGTTTGTAGACCATTTGCTAGAGGATAGCTGGCACCAGTGGCCTGAGGGAGGGCGGGGGCGAGACAGTTCCTGCCCAAGAGGCTCTTCACTCCCTCAGGTGAGGGATGCGGCAGCAGTGGGCACGGGGGTTTTGATTTCTTTTCCTTCTCAACTGAAGAGGGTTTTTCTTTCAGCTGAAGTGTTCTTTTTAAAAGAAGGAATCACTCGGGGAACAAGTGGCACTCTGACAGTGCAGAGGTTTCTGTAGAGATTGCACCTGAGCTTGTTAACCCAAAATATCATCCAGTGGGCTTTGTGTCAGAGGACACATTGTTGTGCTGGGCTGTGCACTCGGGTGTTGCTCTGTGGATGGGCTGCCTCATCCCTCACGGGCCTTCTCAAAATATGTCCCTTCTTCCCCTTGCTAGATTCTAAGCTCCTGAAAAGCTGGCAGTGTGTAGCGTGTCTCAGTTTGGTGTGGTGTGGGTTTTTTGGTTTGCTTTGCTTGTTTTTGTTGGTATCCTTAGGGTGCTAGGCTGACACCTGAGGACTGTTAATGCAGTGGGCGCTGTGCTTCATGACACAGGCCACAGTGAGATAGTCGTCATCCTTGTCCGTGTGCACTTTACAAGTTTCAGGGAAAGAAGCCATCAAACCAGGAATTACCTAAGTATTGAATTATGCTCCTGATACGTTTGGAAGGAAAAGAGGAGGGTGTGTGTATAACAAGGTATGTAACCTGATCAGAAGAGGAAGGGAGTGGGGACTGGGGCAGTCAGGGGAGGTTCATCAGGAAGGTGACATCGAGCCTGAAACTTGAAGGATGGCTCTTGGGAGCTGCTCAGTCCAGGAATGAGGTGAATAGGGCAGAGGGAAGGATATGCATAGCTATCTTTAGGTAGTGTGGAGCACAAGCAATGTGTGGGAAGAAAACAGGCAATCGTGGCTGGAACAGAATGAGCAGTGAGAGGCTGTGATGTGAATGAGGCTGGAGAGAGAGATCTCACATCATATCATGGGGTGCTTTGCGAGCCATGTCAGCATTTGGAGTTTCCTTCTAAGGAGGGCCAGAAGCCACTGTGGATTTTCAAACAGGAGAATGATACTCAATTTCTGTTTTTATAAGATCAATGTGGCTTGTAGTATAGAGAAGAGAAAATGGCTCAGCATGACCTGGGGATATCAGTGAACAAAGACCTCGGCCCTGCTGATGTCTCTTACCATTTCTGCATTTACTAGACAGCTAATGCCATGGAAACAGTTCCCACAAGGCGGGCCGGGTGGCTCTGGGAAAGGCCCTTGTCTGGTCGATCTCCAGTGGTGACAGTCCAGGCCCAATATGCTCTGGTTTTACATGCAGTAATTCACAAGCCTCTGCTGTGTGTGAGCCAACCTGATTTCTTTCTTTCTTTTTTAAACTTTTCATTTCATATTGGAGACTAGCCCATTAACAATGTTGTGATAGTGTCAGGTGAGCAGCAAAGAGACTCAGCCTCCATGTACATGTATCCATTCTCCCCAAAACTCCCCTCCCATCCAGGCTGTCAGGTAACATTGAGCAGAGCTCCCTGTGCTGTTTATAGTAGGTCCTGTTGGTTATCTGTTTTAGATGTAGCAGTGTGTACCTGTTCATCCCAAACTCCTTAACTATCCCTCCTACTAATTTCTTAAACTGTGAAGGCAGGTACCTTCTCTGGCAGTTCTTGGGGGATGGAGGAGACTTTTGCCTAGAGAGAACCTCTGAACTGCAGATGCTCCCCAGTTGTTACAGTCCTAGAAAGGAAGAACCAGCTGCCAGCTGCCCCCTGTTCAACCTGGGCTGTGGCCGTGATTGGGTTCTGTTGATGTTTCTGGACCACTGCCAGAGTTTGCCAGTGTCTGACTGTGCCCACAGCTCCCGATGGGGAGAGAGGAAGTTGAGAACCTCCAGTCATCCCCCATCTGGGTGTTCTTTCTGCCTGGGGAAGGGACTTCTTTGACACATTCCCCAGAAGGAAGCTGGCACATGGTGGTTTTTAATTTGAGGCGAGTGAGGCGAGATTGACGTTAAAAAAACAAACCCCAAGTCCCCACTGAAATCAGTGTTGAACAAATGCTGCAGATTGACCTTTTCTCCTGCAGAATCTTTGCTGTGCTCCTTGCCATCTGTTCTAGAGTTTAGAAAACTTTCGTTCCTTCTGAAACTTTTGGCAAAATGTGAATCAGTTTCAGCCTCTTGGTTGTCACTCCCTGCGGGAGCTCACAAACACTGCACCCAAGTTCTCCCTCCCACCAGCCCGGCGAGGGAGGCCAAGCCCTGGGCAGGTCCCTTGCCTTTCGCCGTGTCTTTTCGCATACCTTCCCTGGTAATGGAGGTGTCCTGTAGGGTCTGCTGTGGGGAGGGAGAGTCAGCAGAGAAGGAGTGGACCAAGGTCAGGCCCAGGAATTGGTGTACCTGGATTGCCGCCCTCTGGCCCTGCCTCTAGGTGGCAGCACTGGGAAGCCACTTGGGCTTTTCTCTGTGCCTCAGTTGCCCAGCTTGTCAAGTAGAGTTCGTCACACATGTCCCGCTACTTCACAGGACTCCCGTAAAAGTCGAAGTTGGGCTGTCTCGTTCAGTCCTAGCCTGGAAATGGGTTTCCTTGACTTGCACAGGGTTGAAGAACTTTTCTACAGTCATAGCCAGGATTTAAAAATGAGGAGATTTCTCCTAAAAATCGAGCTTTTGGAAATCAAAAAACTTGGCAGCCCTCAGCCCACATTCCTCCATGGCAACAGCTGGCCTTCGCTGAGAAGCAGCCGCCTCGTGAACGGGGCGTGCCCTTTCTGGTTTGCCCGGGTCCGCCCCTGCTCACGATCTCCCATCTGCAGGCTCCCTCTGTACACTTCGTTGTGCCTGCACTGCCTCCCTGCTTTAGATGGTCTGTCTGGCCCCTGTAGGTATTTGAGTTTATGCCCTTTATCTCAAGAAGATACTCCAGATTTAGGACTTTAATGACATTCATTTAGATACCACCTATATCTACCACAAATACAGAGGATTTGGGTGGGGAGGAGGTAAGGCCAGACCACCTGTATTCATCATATTCCTCCTGTGGATATAATGGTGTCTCGCCTGTCATTTGGTCTTCCCCAGAGCTAAGAGGTGAATCTCAGCCACCCTTGAAAGGTGAAAGGACAGGGCCTCAGGGAGACCGTGGCTTTCCTGAGCCGGGGTTTGAACCTAAGCTGCTGGACTCCACAGGAATACTCCACGGTCTCAGTGTAGAGTGGACCTGATGGCCCTGCCCCCACCCCCAGCTCTGCAAGCTGCCTGTGCGCATATGTGTCAGTGGTAGGCTTCTCGGTGAAGGCTGTTTGCGTGACTCACAGTGCTGTACTCCTTACCTTTATTTAGGGATATGGAATATTCTTTGGGTTTTTTTCCTCCTTTAAAGCAGTTTTCCCCCTTTTTTCTAGCATCTTTGTCAGAATGAATATTCAGCAGATAAAAGGAAGCTGTGTGTAGAGCCGCTGCAGCATCTCCTGTAATCCTAGGTCTCCGAGGGACCCGTTCATTTAAATACCACTGATTTGGTCTTAATTTCTGCAGTTGAGGAAATGGAGACCAAAGAGATCCAGTAACTTATCTAGTGTTGTCCTTTCTTTTATATCTCCTGGGTAGATACCACTTTAACTGGATTCAGTCTCTGATTATTATTTGTTAACTAATTTTTGGCCGCGCTGGATCTTCGTGGCAGTGCGTAGGTTTTCTCCAGTTTTGGGGTAAGGGGCTACTCCTCAGGGGCAGTGGGTGGACTTCTCATTTCGGTAGCTTCTCTTGCTGGGCACAGGCTCGAGGCACGTGGGCTTCAGCATTGTGGCATGGGCTCAGCTCTTTGGAGGCATATGGAATTCTCCTAGACCAGAGATTAAACCCGGCTCCCCTGCACTGGCAGGCGGAGTCTTATCCGCTGCGCAACCAGGGAAGTCCTCTCTGTCTAATTCTTTAGTGAAGCTTCAGAAAGCTGTTTTTTTATTTTATGCCTGCTTTCTGTTCGTTACAAGAGAAAATGCTTTAAGTAAATAGCAGTCATTGGGGTAAACCTTATTTTGAAAGAGAAACACAGAACGTGTAGGGTGGAGAAGTGGAGGACATGAGCAGAATGTGGGTCTGGGTGAAGTTTCCCTCATTTTAGTTTCCTCTGGCTCTGGTTTCTGTTTCCTTTCCTCTCACACAAGTGGAAGCCATTCCTCAAGGTGTGGATGGGATGGGACCCATGATAGGAAATGAAGTTTCCTTTTACCTGCAGGAAATAAGCAAGCTGCAGATGTTGGTAACCCAGACTCCAGGCTTGATTTCTAAATATCCACCAAAAACCTCTTTGGCAGCAAATCCAGAAACCCTGTCTCAGCACCATGATGGGCTTCTTTGTCTCACGGTCTAATCATTCTCATTGTCTGCCCAGCTGTTCCCTATCTCTGTGCGTATCACTGCTCAGATCATCAGTTTGGCATTTTCCTTCTCTTCTCACTCACCTTCCCTCCCCATCCCTCACTCGTCCTTGCTAAGTGGAGGCACTGGTGTTTTGATTCATTCAGAACAGCCCCAGGGCCCGGTACCACCTAGAATGATTGCTTATTTGAGAGAAAGCCAGGAGCAGTACTACAGTTACTTCAAAAGCCCTATTGCCAGCATTGAATAGCATGATCAGGCTCCTTGAGAACGTTCTGTTTCAGATGATATTGATGACCATGATCTCCTGTTGTTGTCAAAGTTGAACAAGATTTTAGAAATTATATAGTCCCCTCTCTTTGTATTACAAAGGGCTTCCCTGGTGGCTGAGATGATAAGAATCTGCCTGCAGTGCTGAAGACCTGGGTTCAATCCCTGGATTGGAACGATGCCCTGAAGAAGGGAATGGCAACCCACTCCAGTATTCCTGCCTGAAGAATCCCATGGACAGAGGAGCTTGGCAGGCTAGAGTCCAGGGGGTCACAAATAGTTGGACACGACTGAACTACTACACTTTCACTTTTTCTTTCATGTATTACAGATTCTCACTTTCCTTTTTTCCCTCAGAGATAGATAGCCATTTCTGTCATCTTTGCTTGAGAGGTACAAGTCCAAGTTATCTCAGTAATTTCATTGGTGACTCGTTGATACTGTGCTCATTAAAGCCCAGGACAGTGGTAGGAAGCAGGTAATCCTGAATTTAAAAGATGATCAATCTATTGGGAAATGCAAATTAAAATCACAATTAAATATCACTACACACTCAATTGAACTGAACACACTCGATAGAATGGCTACAATGGGAAGACCAATAAAACCAAGCATTGGTATTAGAACAGGGTCCGTATTTCTCTGTGTGTGTGTCAGTTGCTCAGTCCTGTCCAGCTGTTAGAGACCCCATGGACTGTAGCCCACAAGGCTCCTCTGTCCGTGAGATTCTTCAGGCAAGAATACTGGAATGGGTTGCCATTTTCTTCTCCAGGGGATATTCCCCACCCAGGGATCGAACCCGAGTCTCTCATCTCTTGCGTTGCGACAGGGCAATAATTAGCTTGACCATATACTTTGGTTTGCCACAGTCTCCACCACTCTCTGTAGTCTTTTCTAATCTCTCCTCCTTAAAAGGAAAGTTAATTCATTTTTGAGGACTCACTATGTATATCAGGCACTGCTGTAGGGCCTGAAGATACAGAGGGGAACCAAACACAAAACCTCTAATTCATATAGTGAGTGGAAAGTACCCATCTGCATCATCAGAAATTAGAGGGAGAAAGTGAGGCCAAGAGTACTGGGTATTTTAGGGAAAGTGGGAGGAAGCATGTTTCTTTGTGGAAATAAAAAAAAATATTTCTGCATTTAAAATGAATTGGTAAAAGTGAATCTGTCAAAGTTATCCTGTCCTGCCTCTTTCTCTTACCTCACGTAATGGGTCAGATCCTTTTTCCCGAGAAGTTTCCCAAGAAATGGATTTCAGCAAAATCCTGAAGATTATCTTAGTGTTTCAAAAAATGCCAGTAGGCAGAGCAATTGGCACAGGCTCCAGTGGGCAGACTGGCACGGGCTCTGCTGAATGTTAGCTTTTCTTCCCTCTGTGCAAACTCTCCCCAGCTCCCAGTGCAACTATTTAGATTTTTCCATTTAATCAAGATGTAGGGATGCAACTCAGTCTTAGGTAAGCACCTCTCTTGAAGCCTGATAGCTGCCTTCTGTAATCCCCATATCCTCTCCAGCTGTGGCCGAGCCTCTTCTCACCCGATACATGTGGCGGATGTGGGCCTGTGGTGAGAAAGAATCATGCTGTTTGCTCTCTACCTGAAATTTACACTCCTCTTGGTCAGCCATGTGGTGAAAGTGACTAACATCTCTAAACTGACAAATCCTATCAGGCTTTGATTTTTTTCTTTTTTAAGATTTTTTTTTTATTGTCCTTGTTACAATATTATTTCTGTTTTGGTTTTTAAGCCCTGATTTAAATGCTTCTTACCTGCAAGTGCCCATGTGGTGCTAGTGGTAAAGAACCCACCTGCCAATGCAGGAGACATAAGAGATGCCGGTTTGATCCCTGGGTTGGGAAGAGTTCCTGGAGGAGGGCGTGGCAACCCACTCCAGTGTTCTTACCTGGGAAATCCCATGGACAGAGGAACCTGGCGGGCTATAGTTCTTAGGGTCTTCAAGGGTCAGACACAACTGAAGCGACTTAGCATGCAGCACGCTCCTGCAAATAAGCCCCTTGATAGGCATAGTTGCCTAAAACGTAGTTCTGTTTGTGGGAAGCATAATGGCTGATTTCTTTGCCTGTAGATTAATGTTGGTCATAGACTTTAAGAGTCTGGGTTGGCATTTCTCAACCAGTTATGCTTGACTGGATCCTGCCGTAGGCCTCAGAACCGATTTTCCAGTTCTGTCTGGAAATGTCATCTTGCTACCTGGTGAAGAAAGCTGCACTGCTCCCACCTGGTGGCAGTTATCTCAAATTGCCACATCACCAACCTGCTCCTCCAGGCTCACCTTGTCCTTTAGTGGTGCCCCATGTCACTGAACTGTAGGAACCAGTCATTCCCAACTTCTGTTCTGCAGCACTGTCAGATGTCTCCTTGTGACCTAAGTGAGTATTGCACAGTTTTCACTAAGTGGAAAGAACATGTTTTAGATAATTAGGGCAATAACACCGGCCCAGGTTCTGCCCACAACTAGCCATTGGGTCCTAAAAACGTGGTTCCTCCTCCCATAAAGCTAAATGCTAGGACTTAACACTTCAAGTAGCAGCACTGCTTGAAGAAGGAAATGGAACCCACTCTGGTATTCTTGCTGGGAAAATCACATGGACAGAGAAGCCTGGCGGGCTGCAGTCCGAGGGGCTGCAGAGAGTCAGACGTGACTGAGCAGCTGAGCATAGCACAGAAGCCTGGCTGCTGCAAAGTCTCCAGTTCTGTGATTGAAAGAGAAGTTCAAACTCTGTAAAAGGAGTACCCACTTGTTCACAAAGCAATTATGATTATGCATAGAAATTTTATAATTTATCATTTATATTAATACTATCATTTTCTCCAAGTTTAATTGCTTATAAGACATATCATGAATTTAATGGCTTTTGTATTAAATGTATTAATATATTAATTAAATGTATGTATTTATTACAAGAAAATTCTGATCCTAAAAATTATAGTGTAAAAATATGTAATAATGTAAAATATAAATGTATAATGTAAAAATAATATTAGAAAATATGCACCTTAGAATCACATTCTTTTGCGTGTGTGTTAGACTTCTTTCAATAGAAGTCGATGCATGGTAGAGTTTTAAAAATCTTTTATGGTAAGTACTCAAAATTGTAGAATTAAATCCGACAGTTGAGCAGTATGAGTGGACTTTATTATAAGAAAATGAAAAATGTTGAGGTACAAAGATTAGAGAGATGACAGCTGAAATGAAAGACTGGATGGTAAATTTTAGTGTTTATCTGAGTACTGAAGCACACAATGATAGGAAATACACAAACATGCAATCTCTGCTAAATCATTATCAAACTGCACATTTGGAACATTTGAGTCTGTTCAAATTTTTTTTTAACACAGAATTATGTGTGTGCTTTATGAAAAAACGCAACAGTGCTGTATGATTAAAGTTCTCTTTGGTTGCATGGAACAGAATCCTACTCAAGTTAATTTGAAAAAGAACGGTTATTATAAAGATACAACTGAGAAATACTGAGAGCATCGACAGACAGCTGCTGGAGGGCTGCTGGGTCTTCGAGGATTTCGAGTGGAATGGTTGGGACCCAGGTCATATCACAGGCTTGAGGTCTCTGTAATCACTCCTGATTGCCCTGTCTCACCGCAGGACTGTGCCATAGCCCCAGCTCAAGTTCCTGTGCTGCTGACTTCTCTGTGTTCAGCTCCATCCAGTTAGTCATCACCTCCGTGCAAAGAGGGCTCCCCTAGTAGCTCAGCAAAGAACAGCCTAGCAGTTTTTTTCAGTACCCAGGGTCAGTGTGCAGGGTAGTACAAGCTAAATTAATGCAGGTATGTGAGCAGGCAGATAGACTAAGTGTCTGATACAACTGCTGCTTATCCCACAGCTTCACCTCTGATAGCTTTGCTGCACCTTATCTACCCAAACTCTTTTTAACAGTGGCCCTGAAGACCTCTGACAGTGTTTGAAGAGTGAGGTCAAGGTTAGGGGTTCTAAGAATTTGTGGAACACCAAAGTATAACCAGTTCAGAGCACTGAAGGACTTCTGTTTGAGTTATAGTACTCTCGTTTAATGAATTATGAACTCCGTTTTAGAGAAGGGTTAGTGCAGACACTAAAAAAATCTGCCCAGTAATCGCCGTGCTCCCTAGTGGCTGCTGTGGAGAGTAGCTCTTTCCTAACTGTCCGTGTCTTCTCAGCAGCCCATGAGGTGGGGGAGCAGAAGTAATCCCCCATGTGTGTTGTTGATTAGTTAGGGGATGAGGTGAGGAGGGATGAGAAGAAAGGAAGGAGATTCTTGAAATTGATTGCCAACTATCTTAAAACAGTTTTTGAAATAATTTCCAGGCCTGTCTGTTTAAGTATTGGACTTAGGTGTGTTTTGTTTTTTTTTCTTTTAAAAAAGTCCTTGGTTGAATCTAATCTCTTTGAGCCTCTGTTTTCTTCAGTGAGTAATTGTTGTCTTACAGGGAAGAATATCACCTGGCTTCACAGGATTGTGGTATGAATTAGCAAGAGCCCAGAGTGCCCCGGAGAGCAGTTGGAATGTAGTTCATTCTTTTTTTTCATCTGTTCATTCATCTGTTTATCTATTATTGTTCTCCTGTTTTGTTGTTTTTAGATAGGAGTTCAGGAACAGTTTTTCTGATTCTTGCTACCCTATCTCACAAATGATACCTCTGAGTCCCAGTCTTAAGAATGCATTTTGTGCCAGACCAGCCTTAGGCCTAGCTGACGATGGCATCAGAACCATCAGCAGTGACATCAGCAGTCTGCAGCCACACGGTCGTTCCACTGACGTCTACAGCGTGACTAACAGGAGCCTGTGTGTGCTTCTCCCCCAGGTGGATTCGCCATCGTGTTTCTGGTGAGGACAAGCAACGGAATGAAATGTGCCTTGAAACGCATGTTTGTCAACAACGAGCATGACCTCCAGGTGTGCAAGAGAGAAATCCAGATAATGGTAAGGTTGCCCATCAGACTTGGGCTCACTTGTCCACATGTCAGGGAGGGACTATGCCCTCTCATAAGAAGGCCTCGGGGGGCGGAGCATTTCTTGCCTTCCCTGAGAGGACAATGAGGCCTCGCCCAAGATGGGAGTGAACAGCTAAGGGGCATAGGGTGTTGCTCCTGCCTCAGTCATTCTCAGCTGGAGAGTTGAGGAGTAGAAGCATATTGAGAGAACCGACCAATTTTCAGGTCCAGAAATAGTTTGAGGCACTGGGAAAAATGCATTTAACAGCTTGGTTCCCAGAATTATTAATAGTTCCAGAGCTCTGAGGTTGCCGGCGAACCTCTTATAGTCTTATTATCAGCCACCAGTCCTAGCTTTCAACCCTCTTAAATCCTTCATCGTTCTGTGAACAGAGGCTTCCACACCTTTGTGTTTTCTGCATGTTGTCCTTTCCCCCAGAATGCTTCTCCTTTTTTTTTTCTTGCCTAGAAATGCTTACTCATACATACTCTGATTCCATTTATAAAAGGTTAAGAATAAGCAAAAGTGGTCCATGGTAATAGAGATTAGAAAGTGGCTATCTGGTTGTGAGAAATTCACTAGAAAGGGGTATATGGGAACTTTCTGGGCCACGGACGTTGTTCTGTATCTCGTTTTGGGTAGTGGTTATGGCTGCACAATTGTCAGAACTCAGTTGGGCACCTTAAAATCTGTGCCTTTTATATATTAATTATTTCTCACTTCTTAAATCCTCAGTTTTCAGGATTTAGGTTCCTCTTGTGTTTAAAGAAAGAGACCCCATCTGTTAGATATTTGATGAAATATTTGTGGATGAAATAATGTGATTTCTTGAAATTAAATGAGTGGGTTTAGGAGAGAAACAAGATTGGCAATGAATTGATTATTGCACCGGCAGGGTGATGAATATATGGGAGTTTGTTGGAGTATTTGCTTTTTTTCACTTCTGTTTGACATTACACATTTAAGAAATTTGGGTAGTCCTTTATTATGCCCTTGTATTTCTTCAGTACTTTTGTTTGTGTCAGTTATGTTCCTTATCATGTTATTTTATAAGTAATTTAGAAAGTAATTTAAAACCAGAGACTTTGTATTCCAGTACATTGCCCAACATAAAGGAACTACTTAAACTTTGGATGAAATGAATATATGAATAATGATCATAGCAGATGCACATGTCACCTAGGGGTGATGGCTCCTTTGTGCCCTGCATTTTAATGTTCTTGGTAAGAGCATTAAGAAAGAGGTCCAGAAAATGGGTGAGAGTGGCATCGTGGGGATTTCCCCAGGCTTTGCTTGCCCTTGTGCCCTTTCAGTGGCTACTTGTAGAGTAACAAGTTGTACAGCCCAGGATTTTAGAGAGCCTGGTAATATGTAGATTCCAGAAAGCTGAAACTATTTGGGGAGAAGCTGTTGGCGGAAATAAATTTGCTGTCATCATTGCAAAGCAAGCAAAACCCCCTCCCCGCAAGGCTGATATACGTATAGTCAGGGCCATATGCATCTGTCCTCCCGCCCCCCTGCCACTTGGCTCCCAACAGCCATGCTCACTGTTTCCCTTTGTCCACCCAGTGTTTTCTGGATGCTGTTCCTCCTCCCCCCACCTCTCCTTTTCCTTGCTCAGCTCTCACACTTCACTTCCCCTCTTTGCTTCTGCTCTCTCCTCTGCCCAAAATGCCTTTCTCATTCATTTTCAGGTGTTAGAGTTAATCCCACTCTTTAACTTTCTCCCACTCATTCAGAAACAAGTTTGGAGGGCTTCTTTTGTGCTGGGCAGGTATTAGAATAAAGGAGCTGAGAAGTCGTGGGCCCCTTAGGAGCTCATAAATTAATGGACCTGATTTGGAATTATATGGTTCACATTCTGGTGCAGCCATGTATTAGCAATGAGAATTTTATTTTTTAGTTTATCTTTTTCTAAAACTTAAACACTCAAATAATTGGAGTAAGCTTATTGCAAAAAAACATCAAGCAATTCCCTGAGGGGTCCTCCTATGCCATTGCAAGGTCCCAGAGGCCACCACTTTTAGTGGATTCATTTGATATATTTCTAAGTAACAAGCTGATATTGCTGATTGTTCTCCCCCTCCTCCATTTTAGGCAGTAGCTATGGAAAGTAAAAAGTTAGTTTTTTTCATTCCCTACATACCCTTCCCTCCAAATACTTTCATTATTCTCATTCCCATTCTTCCAAAATAGCCATAAGTTTGGAAATCTGTCAGTTATGTTAATATTAGTTTTTATATTACTATGTAAGAAAACATTATTTTTTTGCCGAATCTTCTAAGTGGACTATGATGACTATTCCTTTCTTTTTTTTCTCCCCACTGGAATTGATCGTTGTCTTTTTTGTTTGTTTTTTTAGGTTTTTTAAATCTCAGTTTTCTGTGTGCTTTTGCACGATTTCAAACTCTCCCCCAAGTTGTTTAAATCCTTTTAAAAATACTTTCGAACACATTCAGTGTTCTATCTTCTTGAGGAAATCCCTGTCAGTCTTCAGACTTGATGAAATCTGAGTTGGTTGCTCTGTAGGACAGTTGACTGTCTTATCTTGGAATTTTCTCGCCATTCTTTTTGCTTCTCTCTCTTGTCAGATTTGTGCTTTCTCCTTTTGGCGGAACTTGTCCTCCAGGAGCTTCCTGATGTGTTGTAGGTCAGTTTTTGATAACTTGCAGGTCTGGAGGTATCTTTGTTTTACACTCACACATGTGATAGTTTGCATGTAAAAGTCTGGATTGGAAATAGCATCATTGAGATACTGAAAGCATTGCTCTACTGTATTTTAGCTTCATTGTTGAGTTTGGGAAGTCCAAAGTTATTCTAATACCTTGTCCTTTGGCTGTGACTCATTTTCTCTCCCTAGAGATTTGTAAATTCTTCTTTGCTTACAATGTTACAAAATTAATTGATGATAGATCTTGGTGGGTGCAGTTTTTAATTTATTATGTCTGTTGTCTGGTGGTCTCATTTAATCTACAAACTCATATCCTTGTGCGGGGAGAATTTCAGTTCGTCTCATTAGATGGTTTCCTTTTCTGTCTTCCTTTACTACCAGTATTTGGATGTTAGTTCTCCTGAACTGATTTTCTGACTTTCTGTTTTCTTTCTTCTATTTTTCATTTCTTTATTTTATCCTTCTACTTTCCGGCAAATTTTTTCAACTTTATATTCAACTATCCTGTTGCATTTTTTATATATCAGGCTTTTTAATTTCTAAGCCCTGCTTTTTGGTTTTGTTTTGGATTTTGAAGAAGTCCAGTTTATTAGTTTTTCCTTTGGGGGATTGTGTTTTTGATGTAACTTCCAAGAACTCCGCCTGCCTCTCAGCCCTGAAGATTTTATTTATTTACTCTTTTCTGTAAGTGTTTATATTTTGCATTTAAGTCTGTGAGCCATTTTGAGTTAACTTTATGTAAGGCATGAGACTTAGGGTGAAGTTCATTTTATTGTTTGTGGGTGTTCATTTGTTTAAAAGGTGATCTTTCCTTCGTGGAGTATTTTTTTAAAAAAAAATCAGTTGGACTTATTTTTGAGGGTTAATCTCCAGACATTTCTCTGTTTTCTGTTCTGTTGCATTAATCTATGTGTCTCTCCATCCACCAGCACCACGTAGCCTTGATTACTGTAGTTTTATAAGTCTTGAAATCAGACTGATTCCTCCTACTTCTTTTTTTTCTGAAAATTGTTCTTAATTATTCTCGTTCTTTTGTCTTTTCACATAAATTTTAGAATAATCTTATCTATATCTACAGAATGTTCTGCTATAATTTTGGTAGGTATTTCATTAAACTGGTATATCAATTTGGGGAGAAATGACATCTTTTCTCTGTTTAGTCTTCCAGTAAATGAATATGGCACCTCTCTCCATTTATTTACATCTTTGATTTCTTTCAGCAACATTGTGTAGTTTTCAGCATACAGGCCTTGTATGTGTCCTGAGATTTATACCTCGGTTTTCAGTTTTGTTTTGAATGAGTATAAATGGTATTGGATAATTAATTCCAGTGCCCATGTTTTTACTGCTAGGATGTAGAAAATCAGTTGATTTTTCTGTGTTTATTTTGTATCTTGTAACCTTGCTGACCTTGTTTACTGGTTCTATGAATTTCTTCTCCTTTCTTTAGGATTTTCTGTGTAGGCCACCATGTCATTGAATAATGGAGGCAGTTTTATTTTTTCCTTTCTGATATGTTTCTCTTTAACTTCCTTTTCTAACCTTACTGCGCATCTCCCTCATTTAATTATTTATTCAATCATTTATTTATATCAGTTTGTTCTTAGGCATATTAATTGTGTCCTTTTTTTCCCCCTTCAATCTATTTGCTATCTTTGGTTCATACTGGGTAATTCCTGTTGTTTCATCTTTCAGTTCACTGATTCTTTGCTCTTTCCCTTCCATTCTGCTGATGAGCCCATCCATTGTGCTTTTTGCTTTGGTTATCGCATTTTTCAGTTCTAAAATTTCCATTTGGTGGTTCTTTAGGTTTTCCGGGTTTTTGATGACACTTCCTGTTTCTTTGCTGAGGCTTTCTGTTTGTTCATTTGTTTCAAGCATGTCCTTAATTGCTGGTTTAAGCATTTTTGTCATAACCGCTTAATCATAACTGGATGATTCTGTCTTTTTGAAGTGAAAGTCACTCAGTAGTGTCCGACTCTTTGTGACCCCATGGACTATACAGTTCATGGAATTCTCCAGGCCAGAATACTAGAGTGGGTAGCCTTTCCCTTCTCCAAGGGATCTTCCCAACCCAGGGATCAAACCCAGGTCTCCCACATTGCAGGTGGATTCTTTACCAGCTGAGCCACAAGGGAACCCAAGGATACTGGAGTGGGTAGCCTATCCCTTCTCCAGCAGATCTTTCTGACCCAGGAATTGAACTGGGGTCTCCTGCATTGCAGGTGGATTCTTTACCAACTGAGCTATCAGAGAAGCCCAAATCTGTCTTCTTGGTCACTTTCACTTTGGCATCTATTGACTGCTGTGTGTTTTC